CCTGCTCTCATCGTTAAGAGCATCCTCAGGATCCCCTAAACCCCGATGGCTCATTTCAGCTCATTTCAGTTTGTTCTGTTCTTGATAGAAATTGAAAGCAGCTGGTCATCATCAAGCATCTCCCACGTGTACACGGTGGGAGGGGTCTGACACTACACTTCATCTTCTGGACACTAGGTGTATTTTCTTCTTATTTTTAACTTGGAAGATTCCTTTCAGGATGGGCTTGAATGGAATTGGCCACCCTCCCACCCCCATTCTGGCTTCGTTTCCAATTTCTCAGTACCTGCCTATCTGCCTCTTTCTGGATTGCATCATTGCTGTGCTTAGGTCTTGAAACACTTTGTGCAGAAGCAAATGAAATTTATAGCAACTGGAGAAACGAAGCGGCAGCGCTTGAACTGGAGCAGTGGGAGAGACCACCAGCCTTGTAGTCTGCCTGGTCCACGACTGAATTCCCTTATATCCTAGGGACAAAGCGACTTGGAGCTCTTACCCAGGGAACAAGCGGTGGGGTGAGGCTGTGAAGGAAAGGGTGGTCTTTGTGAGGCCAAGAATGAGAAAGATGATGATAAAGGTGGTGATGGTGACAATCACAATAGCTGTTGCCATTTATTGATCTTATTCTGTGCCGGGCACTGTCCTGCATACTTTACCTTATGCATTCTCTTCAATTTACAAGTAAGTAAATGGAGGCAGAAGCGGGCTGAGTGACGGTGACCCAGCTGGCAACTGCTGGGAGGAAGGAGAGACATAGTTAGAATCCTTGCCCATCTCCCTGCTGAGCTCCGTTCAAACAAAGCAGCAATTTGCTTCTGCTTCCCCATGTTTCATTGTATGGGGCCTTTGCCACCCCACCGTCCTGTACCTAAGCTCATCTGGCCTTCTCAATGCCCACATGGGGTGGGTCAGCAAAGCAGGTGCTTTATCCTCATCTCACTCTCACAGAGGATAAAACAGAGGGTCACAGAGGAGACGTTATTGCAAAACACCCTCCATGGACAGCGCGCGTGTTGTCTGTGTTGGATGCCAAGAGGTGTGCTGTAGAATAGATTGAAATGGCTTTCATCTCCCACAGTAGCTGTGTTTCTCCTAGTGGAGCTGTCGTCTGGGCCATCACCATGGAGGAGGTCACCCAGGTCACATGTTTCTCCAAGTGGGTTCCACAGAACCCCTACTCACACACAGCCCATCATTGAGGTGACGCAGCCCGCCACTCTGGAGGCAACCAGTCTGAATCTGTTTATTACAGGAACCTGGTAGTGGGATCACACCCATCTGGCCAGTTAGATTAGATCATGAATTGTGGTTCCTTGTGTGCGAATATTATTGGGGGAAGCTGAGCTGAAGTTTCGTGCTCCGACAGTTTCTGCGGAGTCATCAAAAGTAGTGACGGGGGACTTCCCTGGTGGCACAGTGGTTAAGAATCCGCCTGCCAATGCAGGGGACACGGGTTCGAGCCCTGGCCCGGGAAGATCCTACAGGCCACGGAGCAACTAAGCCCGTGTGCCACAACTCCTGAGCCTGCGCTCTAGAGCCCGCGAGCCACAGCTACTGAGCCTGTGAGCCACAACTACCGAAGCCCGCGCGCCTAGAGCCCGTGCTCCACAACAAGAGAAGCCACCTCCATGAGAAGCCCGCGCACCGCAACGAAGAGTAGCCCCCACTCGCCGCAACTAGAGAAAGCCCACGAGCAGCAACAAAGACCCAACGCAGCCAAAAATAAATAAAATAAATAAATTTATCAAAAGAAAAAAAAAAAAATAGAGCCGGGAAGAGAGAAATTGTTCGGGCTGCCATCAGACCAACACAGGGTTGCTTTTCAGAAGGGTTTTGAGTCGTGGACGAATTTGACTTTGCAGTTATCAGACAATGAGGCATTCACAGCTGCTTCTGAGAAGCTGAATGATTTTTCCTCTTTTCTCCCCCTTCACGGCTAAACAGAATTTGCTTTTCCTTTACTTCCTGTCGACCCTGCAGTGTGTCTATTTCCTCTGCTCCTTTACTGACTTCAGGACAAAACCTACTTTTGTTTCCGTAAAGATTTCTTGTTAAAATATCGTTGCCAAAAATATGGTCCTAGAGGAACAGCAGTGGAATTTAGGATTGTTATTGAGGGAGGAGGGCATTATTTTTCTTATTCAACTGATCATTCTGAAAGCAACCCGTTGGCTGTCTAGATGAAGAAAACACAAGGACCATAAACTCAGGGGAGTGAGGACAGAGAAAAAGTGCTGTTTCCATTTCAAGACTTTGATTTGCATTTGAACTTTTTCTAAATGGGTGCTTTCAAGAGCAATTCTAAACATTCTTGGCATCCTTGAGGGCAGGCCAGACCAGGCTCTGCTTTACTTAATCTTGATATATTTTTTTCAGACAACGGTAGTTTTATTTGTATTTGAATGCAAACTGTTTTTTTTTGGTTCTGTAATTTCCCCCCAAATGAGTGGTTTCAGCAGAACGGCTGTCTGCCATCTGCCAAGAATAGGGAAACTGAGAGTGGAACGTGGCCTTGAAAGAGGAGGAGAAACGTATTTCTAGCGACGAAAGTTAAGGGAGCTGTAGTATCTCTGAGCTGCCTTCACGCGGCAATGGGAAAACCAGGATGGTAGCTGCCTGCATTCTGGGTATCTGGAATTGCTTTTAAAAAAAACCTGGTATTTTAACGTGTCTTTTTTCAGAAGAGCCCTCACAGATAAATTTTCCACTAGACTAACGTTTGGCTGTCAGGAGTGAAGACTCACACGTCACCCTGCTCTGTCCCTACCTTTGGGTTCAGGGTTCCTTTTGAAGCGGTGAAAAGAGCTCAGGGAAGGCTGGGAGACGAGAAGCAGGCCGCTGTGATTATAAACGAATCGCCCTCGTAAATCCCATCACCAGCCATGTCCGACAGCCTCTCTGAAGATCTGTTTCTTTGCTAGTGGTATTATATACCCTGGGATCTTCAGGAAAGAAGCTTACTTTTTAAATCCAACCTGACCTAAACAACAACAACATATGCTTTTAGCTCAGTTCTCAGATGCTGTGTTTACGGATCTCAGGCCAGAGGAAACTTCCACACTTAAGTTTAATTCCTTCCCTCCCCCATTGGAAGTAAGAAGACAGTTCAGGCTCTAAGATGAAAGGAGATGCACGGTGTGGGTGTGTTTTCACGGCTTGTCGTTGCATCCACGAGCCTTTTGGGGGTGCTCTGCGGTGCTCCCCACCTCGGGCTGGCTGCAGGAGGCTCCCTCTGGCCTGTGCTCCCTCTTCATCGCCTGGGGTCTGCTCCTCATTCCTGGGAGACCATTGACTTGGACTTCCGGGCAGCTTCCTACCTCCCATCATGGGCTGCGTCTCCTAGGACACAGAAGTTGGTCCCCATCCATCAAGCATTATCTGTGCCCCTGTCAACTGCAGGAGGGGCAGTGGATGCCACTTTCCCGGACCCGATGGCCGGCAGGGAGACGTAGCACACAGGCCACGACAGGCACCCCAAGGGCCACAGAAGGGCTGGCGCTCTTGGAACTCACGGCATCGACATCGGGCAGCGAACTAGTCCCAGGGCTGAGGGAGGGACTTCCCTAAGAAGGGTCTGTCCAGCCGGGCTTTGCGGATGGCGTAAATTAGCGGGATGAAGAGCGGGGTAAGAGCATCGTGGGCTGAGGGGATGGCAAGGGGGGAGACCCTGAGGTCAGACACGGAGCAGGGACATTCAAGGACTTGCCTACACAGTGGAGGGGAAGGGCGCAGGGGCACGGGGAGACAGGCACCGCAGATTTCTACATTTTTATGTAGGGGTGTGAGGAAGAGGGTGGGGCCGGGGATGATCAGAAGACCTTCGGTTTCAGCATCCGCAAGGATGACGTCACCATGGCCCGAGATGGGAGAGGCAGGTGGCCTGGGGTGCTGGTGATTCATCTGCTCTGTACCCCACCTTGGCGTGGGTGAGCCCCTGGCGGGCATACCCGCCAGGGAGGGTGTGTCCAGAACGTGGGCCTGCAGGGCGGTCCTGGGGAGTCTCCAGACCCCCTTCATTTGTCCGCTGTGGCCTCGGATGGAGATGTGAGGTTTGCCCCGTCGCGGTGTCGGTCCAGCCGAGGCACTTCAGGTAACCTCTCTGAGTTCAAGGCCAAAGAGAGTTCAAGTCCCTCAAAATTGTGTTTCCTTTTTGGAAACTATTTGTTGTTTTCTTTCTGGCTCTAAGAGCTGTATCTGTTCGTGATAGAAAATCAGAAAATGAAATAAAAAATAAAAATCATTGTCAATTCTCCTTGCCGTTGAGGGATAACCATGGTTGCCACCAGGCACATTGACAAAATTGTGATCACGCTGCATGTAGAGTTCTCTAGCCTGACTTTTTAACCAACATCGTATTCTGAGTTTCCTTCCCCAAGGCAAAAACAAATTCTCTTTAAAAAAGTATTGCCTGCATCGTATTCCATCGTCTGGCTACGGTGTCCGTTATCGTCAGGATGTTGTTTCCTGTTGTTCTCTCATAAGAATACTCAGTACAGGATAACACAATGAAGGCATTGTTCCTTTATCTTTTTATGTCAAACTTTTCACTTTGTTTAAATTCACAAGTAAGAGAGAGACACGCTCTGATTTTAAAACAAATTCAAACAGTACAGATCCATATGGAGTAAAAAACAAGAGCCTCTTTTCTGCCCTCTCCTCGCCGCCCCCCCAACCTCAACCAGCAGCTGCTGATTTGGTGCATCTCCTTAAATACATGTACAATTTGTCCTTTACGAAAAGCAGGGGGCGGAGGGTTTTGAGTAGAGACGTTGTGGCTTTGGTGCCATCTTAAATGAATATTCTGTGAGAGCTAATTTTGGGCCTGACACTATTTTGGTTCTTGTGGTAGGGTTGCCAGATTTTGCAAATTAGCGGCCAGGTAAATATGAATCTCAGATAAACGACGAATAATTTTTTAGTATTAGTATATCCCCAATACCGCAAGGCATCTTTACACAGAAAACACTTATGGTAAGTAAAAATACTTGTAGTGGATATTATTCAGCCTTAAAAAGAAAGGAAATTCTGACACATGCTACCACATGGATGAAGCTTGAGGACATTATGCTGAGTGAAACAAACCAGTCACAGAAGGACAAATACTGGACGATTCCACTTGTATGAAGTACCTAGCGTGGTCAGATTCATAGAGACAGAAAGAAGAACGGTGGTTGCCGGGGGATGGGGGTCGCGGGGCGGAATAGGGGTTAGTGTCGAAAGGGGACAGAGCTGCCAATTTGGCAAGATGAAAAGAGTTCTGTCGGTGGAGGGTGGTGATGGCCGTGTGAATGCACATGATGACACCAAACTGCACACTTAAAAATGGCTCAGATGGTAAATTTTATGTTGTTTGTATTTTACCGCAGTGAAAAGAATACTTGTACTAAAAACATACGTGTTTATCTGAAATTCAAATTTAACTGGGCCTCTTGTGTATTATCTGGGAGGCCTGCGCTGTGGGGATGACAAATAGAAATGAGATGGTCTCACCCAGAGGGTCCAGTGCCGAGGCCAACTTCCCAGGTCTCTGCTTCTGGGAGCTGAGTGGGCGGGGCAGGAAATGGGACCCAGTTCCTTATTATGGCCACCGAGACTCCTGATTTCCTTCTTAGCTTCCTGGATAACTGTGAGTGGTGTATAAACACATGTAGGCCGTCTGCCTGTGGGGAGGGCAGTTCATCAATCCCTGGGGCTCAATTTCCTTGTCTGTAGAACAAGGAAGCTGGGCTTGATGACCTCTGCCATTTATCTTCCAGTGGCAAAGTCTGTGAAACTATAAAATGGTCTTGATATAATGATTTCCGCATGGTCTGGATATTTTTCTACGATCGTGAAATCCTTTTCCGTCTGCAGCGATGTCCACACCCCTATTTGTTCACTGTCACTATTCTCTTTATATTATGGTACATTTTAGTTAATTTCATGCACACACCCACTCTCCCGCCCCCGCAACCAGTCTGCTGATAAATGAACATCCCCAACAAAGAAAACTTTAGCTCTGAATCACTGGGCAAAATTTGATGAATCTGGAGTTGGTGGTTTCAACTGAGATAAGTTATTATCCTTACTATTGTCTTTTATAACCTGTTTAGTATTCTTTCTCTTGATTGACCACATGGTCCCACCCCTTGGATATTATTGGCCACATCAGAGGGTAAAGGAGTCCTTGCTTAATTGCTCTCTGGGAGGAGAAAGAGTTTCTAAATATAAACACAATAGAAGAAATCACAAAGAAAAAGAGAGATTTAGCTAACTAAAAATTGAAATGTATAATGAAATATAAACTAAATTAAAAGGTAAAAAACAAATTAGGGGGCTTCCCTGGTGGCGCAGTGCTTGAGAGTCCGCCTGCCGATGCAGGGGACGCGGGTTCGTGCCCCGGTCCGGGAGGATCCCGCGTGCCGCGGAGCGGCTGGGCCCGTGAGCCATGGCCACTGAGCCTGCGCGTCCGGAGCCTGTGCTCCGCAAATGGGAGAGGCCACAACAGTGAGAGGCCCGCATAACGCAAGAAAAAAAAAAAAAAAAAAAAAAACAAATTAGGGAAAACATTTGCCACAAGCTTAACAGACCAAAAAAAAAAAAAAAAAAAGTAATATGCCTAAAACTTAAAGAGCTTTTTGCCAAAGTTTAAGATAATTAGTAATACCCCAGTGGAAAAATGAGCAAAAGACAGGAAGAGGCAATTCACGGAAAAATTGCAAAATGCCCAATAGACATTTAGGAAAGTTTCACTAATAATCAAAGAAATGAAAATGAAAATATCAGTTAAAATAATTTGAGGAGGAGATGCTAGATTTTTTTACATGAAATGATGCCTTTTTTCCTTTCTGTCTTGAAAAATGTGTCATGTTTTTCATCATCAGCACAATCAGAACGGCAACTTGTTTCATGGTTTACGTAGCTGATTTCATGAATTATCGTTTTCATGTCCCATTAGGTTTCTGACGTTTCGATATTTACTCTGGAACCTTGGGGCATTGCTGGGGGGAGGGGCATTATACTTGGAGGCGTGCTCCATTAACTAACCCCTCCCCCACCGTAGTTAACAGGTTGGGCTGAATTCTAGCCGCTGAATAAAGCTGGGTGTTCCCCTCTTCCTCACTATATAAACAGCTTTCAATGATAAAGTAAATGCGTGAAGATTGTGCTGTTTCCATTTTCCCCGTCTTCACTATTCAAAAAAAATCAAATGTTTAAAAGTTTACCTTTTTAAATATTGTAATGTTTAATATTCGCGTGTGTGCGCAATGCATGTATGAAAACTTGCTGGTGCCCCCGAATATCCTCGGTGTGCCTTTTGGATCGTCCTGTTCACTTTGCGGCTTTGCAGCGTGAGGTAGTCCTGAGGTTGATGTGACCGGTGGGGATTCAGTAGCCACGCTTGGCGCCGGTGGGGCTGATAAGCAGCGTGACTTCTGCTAACCTAACCGGTGCCTCTTCCCCACGCAGCCTGGTTAACGAGGTGTACGAGGTGGACGACACCATCCAGACCCTGCAGCAGCGCCTGAGGGACGCGGAGGACACCCTGCAGTCGCTGGTCCACACCAAGGCCACCCTGGAGCACGACCTGGCGGTCAAAGCCAACTCCCTGTACATCGACCAGGAGAAGTGCATGAGCATGCGCAGGAGCTTCCCCAGCACCCGGCGGCTGGTGGGCTTCTGCTAGGGCCCCCTCCCCTGGACTAGGTGTGATGCTCCCCAGGTCCCCAGGTAAGGCGGAACCGGGGTGCCGTGCGCGCGTGCGCGCGCGCGCGCACTTACGCGAGGGCTGATCTATATCCACTTATTAAAGGATCGTATTTATAGACCTGTGCCGCGGTCCTGTCTTGGAAAACCTTTCGTTTGCCTCCAAACCTTAGTTCCCGACGATTTACTAGGCTTCTGGGCCAGAGAAAAACAATCGATGTAATAGACAAGGTAAGAACACTTATTTGTATTACTCTTGTTATTCTCTGTGTAACATGAATGCGCTGGAAAGGAGAAATGTATTTTTTTCTGAGGCCGTGGAGGCAGGTATCCCAGCAGGTGGGTTCTGAGAGAAGGGGAGAGGCCTCTGGAAGGTAGTAGTCGGGGATAGTTTGAGCAAAACCGAAGGTGGAAAAATAGAGAGTGCATTTGGACAACAGTAAGTGGACCAGTTTGGCTGTGATTCATAACGTAGGGTGTGTATGAAGAAACAGGATGGCTGAGACCCCTGGAAAGTTGGGGGGGTGGGTTCAAGGGTAGGGGGAGTGATGGACAGCTCTGTGCAGGGACATGGCCTTGTGAAAACAATGACCGGGTAAGGAAAGTTTGAATTGGAGAGATGGCCATGGAAACCAAGAGGGGAGAGAAGCACAAAGCATGTTACAACAAATCAGCAGAACTTGCTAACCTCACAGGCGAGTGAGCTCTGAGGGCCCAGGGTGACAAAAAGTTACTGACTTTGGGTGGGCCGAAAAATGGGACATCGCTTACATTCTAGGAGGTCCTGTCTTATCTCAGGGGTTGCTTATTTTTTTAAAATAACTTTTTCTTTATTACAAGTGAAAAACATTTGCTGATACCTGTTTTGGAAAATAGGGGAACGACACACACAGAACTCCTTGTAAATTACTTGTTATCACAGTGCCCAGAAATAATCACTGAAGTTGGTCAGCATTTTATGGTATATGCTTTCAGTCCTTTTTCTGTGACAGTATATGTGTCTATAAAATTTACTTACATATACAGGTAATATGCAGTGTTTATTTACACATATGTATCATATGTAATGCTTATATTTAAATACATAATTAGTAACATTTGGGACCACACTTCTGATTTGTAATCTCCTTTTCCTTATTCATATATTATACTATAAATGGGTTTCCATGTCATTAGCTGTTAATGCACAACATCATTTTTTAAAACCTTGCCTTGGTGTCTCTAAAAACAATAAATAACCACTCTTGGAGATTTCAGAAAACACAGGCGAGGGATAACAGAGTATTTGTCTTTCTCTGCCTGACTTATTTCACTATGTTATCACGGATACGTGGAATCTAAAAAATAAAACAAACGAATGTATATAGCAAAACAGGAACAGACTCACAGATACAGAAAACAAACTAGTGGTTACAAAAGGGGAAAGGGAAGCGGGAGGGGCAAGAGAGGGGTAGGGCATTAAGAGGTACAAACTACTATGTATAAAATAAATAAGCACAGGGAAGTACAGCCATTATGTTGTAATAACTTTAAATGGAGTTATTATTTTATTCTATAAAAATATTGAATCACTATGTTGTATGCCTGAAACTAATACAATATTGTAAGTCAACTACGCTTCGATTAAAAAAAGAGAAAATACAGATGAGCAAAAGAAGAAAATAAAACTCTTCCATACTTCTAAACTAACTAGATGCTTTGATATACCTATATTCTATTTCTGTATTTTTATGCACATTTTCCTTTCAAAAATGGAATCCCGAATGAAGTAGCCCTTACAAAGCACTTACTTTGGGCTGAAACCATTCCCAGTGCTTTGCTCACCTCAACTCATTTATGCTTTTGCACTTGAAAATGTATACTCTTTCCATGTCACTTAATCCCTTTCCATAACTTCTTTTTAATGGCTTTTAAATAGTCCATTGTCCTGAGGTTCTAGAATGTTCTATGACCAATTCCCCATTATTGAATATTTTTGTTGTGCCTGACTCTTTATAGCAATGTAGCCATGATTTAATCTTGTTAGTGAAATGTGTGCAAACATCTTTAATATTTTGCTTAAGGAAGGTTCCTAGATCTGGAGTCGTTACATCAGAAGTCAGGCACACATTGAAAAAGGCTTTTACAGTGTGTTATCAAATTGACCTCCTGAAACTTTGTTACTCAGCCCTCCACCACCAGCCTGTAAGAGGGCCTGTCTTTCTGCATCTTGATAATCCTGTGTTATCTTTCTTCACCAGCTCATCTTTAGTAAATAGTGATGTAGAGCATTGTTCACTGGACCCTTGAATTTCTTCTGTCAGCTGCTAGTCCTTGTTATTTGCCTGTTTCCCCTGAGTATTTATCTTTTTTTCATTTGTTTTTTAGAGCTCTCTGTGTATCAGTCATGTGACACTTTCATCCTATGTACTGAGCGTATATTCTTGGTATGCCACTTGCCTTTACATTTTGCTTATGGTTTTCAATGTTCAGAGGCTGAAATGTGTAAATACTTCCGTGATGATTTATTTCTTTGGAGTTACACCAGAAAAGCTCTTCTGCATTCCAAGATTATTTACCTATAATTTCCTCTGATTCCATTCATGACTTCTTAAATTACCCTTAACCATCTGGAATTCAATTTGATATGATGTAGAGAGCATGCTAGCTTTGAATCCTTTGATCTGGAAATACTGAAATGGGAAGATGAGTTACCGGAGAGAAGGGTTTCTCTCCTTTCTCTCCTATTTCTCTCCTCTTTCTCTTATAAGCATCTTTTTTCTGCCTGTGTTCTCTTTGCTCTGTCCTAACCACTGTCTATTAATGCCAAATCCATCTCTCTCTCTCTTTCTGTTTCTTAAAAGTTATTTTTCAGCACACCTTGGTCAGTCAACTTCACAAGACATCTCAAAATGCTAGTAGGGGGCTTCACTGGTGGCGCGGTGGTTGGGCGTCCGCCTGCCGAGGCAGGGGACACGGGTTCGTGCCCCGGTCCGGGAAGATCCCACATGTCGCGGAGCGGCTGGCCCCGTGAGCCATGGCCGCTGAGCCTGCGCACCCAGAGCCTGTGCTCCGCAACGGGAGAGGCCACAACAGTGCGAGGCCCGCGTACTGCAAAAAAAAAAAAAAAATGCTAGTAGGGTTGACATAAACATGATAAGCTTGTACTAGGGTTATTTTTGTGGTCTCAGTGTATCATTTTAGACATCAAATTGTAGGTTTCGTCATTCTCCCTTTGCTTCTAATGGAAACAAAGATATTTAAGTGCCACTAAGACACTTGCCAGTTAGAGCAATCAAGTGTTGGTGGTCATCAGTTTTAGACAATAGTTAGAATAAACAAATTCCACGTCTCTTATTTGTTACACGTTTCAGGGAAAATCTTGCTGACTTTTTCCACGATTTATAATTTTTTTTGAGGAATATGTGAGTGTGGAGTCCTTTTACTTAAACATATGTTCCCAGCATTACAAGAATGTGATGGGAAGAAGACATAGTTCAGACAGAGGAAAAGGCTACTTTTCTTGTTATTTTGATAAACTGTGGGCAAAGCGAAATTCCACAAATAAACATTCGGTTTCTGGTCTAAAATGTCACAGCTACTTCCGAGGGCAGATATTCAAACGCTGGGATCCACGAGCAGCCAAGTCTCAGAGTGTGATCTTGCGTCGGAATCACAGGTCCGCAAATATCAACACGTGATCTGGCTTTATATATTCAGGCTCAAACTATCTTTAATGTTATGTGGCTTTAAGAAGGGCTGCTGGAATGTCAAAGGCTTCCACCCACCCAAGCATCATTCAGATTTAGAAATGTGTGTAACTGCCCCTAAATAACCAAGTCACCTATAATTTTAGCAATTTCCATTTACATGCCTGGAGAGTGTTGTCATAAACACCTCGCAGGGCACTTTTGAGTCCTGAGTTCATGCTGTAAATAGCTGAGGTGGGGTCCGGTTCTTGGTTATAATTTTTGCACTGAAAACGGGAATGGAGTCCTTCCTTTTGTGTGCAGGGCTGACCCAGTTCAGGAGGAGGGGGAATTGGTTCTCATGGATGTACCCCCAGTTTTCCCTGTCAGTCTCCACTCTTCTAGCCCTGGCCCTTCAGCTGTTCTCGGCAGTGCTGGACCCACCATTGGTGGGATTGCCAAGACCAGCCTTCTAGGCGGGGCGCCATGACGATACCTTCTGAACCCTGTTATAGTCAGGAGTTCATGGAGAGCAGAGACAATACTTAATGTCTTCTCCAAGGATGGAAAATCTGTTTTACCTTGAGGACCAGCTCTAGACCATAGCAGTGCTTGTTTGGAATGTTGAGAAGGAGTCTGAGGACATGTGTGAGTGCACACAGGTGAGAATCTAGACGTCGGAAGGCTAATCTAACCTGCAGGGGCCCAGGATGGAAAAGAAGCAGGACAAATACTGCGATCTCTGCTCCAAACAGGTCTATATTCTCCCTCAGCCCAGATCTTTCCCTTCCAACATCAGAAGCGTTCTGTTTTGTGATTAATGGCTCATTCCCTGGGGACCCTGCTGTTTGCTTATTTTGCTGGGAGCTACTGGGAGACCCTTTCTGCTGCCAACTTTTTCCTTTTAGCAAGGAGCTTCTAAAGAGCTCACCATGACCAAAAAGCAACTCTGGTGGCATCATGGTAGAGATCTAACTGTACAGAATAAATTAGACATTATCATGGGATGTCCCTGGCAGTCCAACGCTTAAGACTCTGCACTCCCAGTGCAGGGGGCGTGGGTTCGATCACTGGTCAGGGAACTAAGATCCCACATGCCCTGCGGCGTGGCAAAAAAAAAAAAAAAAAAAAAAAAAAAAAAAA